GGTGCTGCACAAGTAATTGTATGTAATTACAAGTGTTGGAGAAAAACTACTATTAAAACTAATAATGGTGTAGAGCAATAAGACAGGTAACGCAAACCAGTGGAAAATGTACAAGTTTTAGTAAGAAATTTGTGCAATTTTTAATTTTTTCCTAAAACTTTTTCTGCCAAAACTCAAAATAAACAGCAGCTTTCACTAGTCGGCTCATAGTTATGTGTAAAAATTGTTAGTGTAAGCTATGCCATATGCTATAATACAGTCTGCTATAAAATTATTATTTTAACACAAAAATTGTCAAATTTCAATAGAATTTTCTTTAAGGTGACCCTCAACTGAAGGACTGTTTTTTTAGGCATATTTTAGGGTATTTTTCTTTACTTATTATTCTTAAAATTTCATTCGGCCAAGCCGTTTTTGAGATGCGATGGAGGAAAGTTTGAAAAAATACAGTTTTGAGAAAAAAACGTTTAAAGTTTCAAGTCTCCTAACAGCACCTTTTTCTATCTGCTGTATCTTTAAAACGACTTCGAATTTTTAAAAATCACTTTACTACCGTATTTTAGACACGTTAAGTAAACAATTTATTAAAAATCGATTTTCTGAGCCCATCACATGGGACTACCCGCTTATTTTATTTATTTAATTAAACAAACATGTCATACATAGATTTTATACTTTTTGAATTTTAGTTGAAAAATTTTAAGCTTACAAACGTCCTAAAACAACTTTATAACATTTAACTTAGGACATACATGGCGTATGCGCAACAAATTATTAATACGAATACATTGCACAAATATCACTCATACGCACTGGCACACGGCGCTTTTTTCATTGAAACTCAAGCTTTTCCGTAGAAACTGCAGCTAAACTATAATGGATATTTTTATAAAATTTTCCATATTTAAAAAGCCAGTCATTCACGGTTCCAGACATGTTTAAGCGACACACCTAGTGTCACACCTTAAAGAACGATTTTTGAGAAATTCAAAAAAAAACTACTTTATCAATTGTTTGACAGTTTTGAGTGTATATTTAGACATATTTTAAGAATACACAGTAAGATTTATTGAGAAAAATATTAAATATTCTGCTAATTATACGCGATCTGCGACGACGCTACCATAAAAAGTTCTCCACTACTGTAGTGATTCCGATTCCTTTTCAGTGGATGAAACCCAAAAACGAAGTTCTCTACTACAATAGATAAATTTTATTCGTACAATGACATGCGGTGATGAAGCTAATTGAACTAAGCGGTTACACTTTAGGAAACTGTAACTCAACAACTATTTAAGATATCGATTTTAAATTTTTGTATGTTGTTTTTAAAGCTTTAATCTATCGATATATGAAAAGAATCGATTTTTTTAAATTTCACACTAGCTGTTCAGTTTGCAATATATTATATTATATGTATACATATACATATTCCTTTCTTATAAAATAAAAATTTCATTTAGCAAAATTTCCAATTATCCTAAAAATATGTTATGAATGTAATAAATAAAGCATAAATTGAAAAATATTTAATATTTTTTACAGAATAATTTCTTTATTTCTTTTATTTTTAGCAAGATAAACTTGCATAAACTTATGTAAATTAATTTTTTTCTGTAAGTTACTACATACATACGTATAAATATGCTGACTGTGCATTGCTGTATCTTTATCTAATACAAAAATATTTATATTTACAAAATAAAGAGCTTTAGCATGACCCAAGCTTCCGAGCGCATAAAAAATTTAAAATCAATTAATTTTTCTTATACTCACTACGCCTATTGCAACAAAATGCTGCATTTTGTATGCAATTTACTACAATTTTCTCCAAACGATTTACTAATTTACAATTATACTCAATAAATATTAATTTATTTTTATACATAGAATTCTTACAACGAAAATGATGATGCAGCAAAACAGCATAAAGCTGCAATGCCCGAGGGATAAGCACATTAAAACACTTAAAATTCATACAAAATAATAATAATAACAACAATCAACTGAAAATTAAATTCCAACAGTGTTTACTTGTTGCAAAAAGAACAACAATAACAAACACTAACAAAGTATTAGTTACTTATTTTGAAAACAATGCGAGTACAATAGCAGTCATATACTACTGCTATGGCATTGTGGCCAGCCAGCCAGCGTCCTATCAGCATACATATGTACATACATTTATTCATGTTCATACATGTTTAGGATTTTCGAAAAGCTCACATTTATGTATATACATTTACATGCGTACAAGTATGTGCTATATGCAACGGTACATTCGGTTAATACACGTACAAGTATGCGTGTATTGCAGTGAGGCATTCATGCAACAAGCGCAACGAGCATGATTCCCTCGCTCAAATAATGCAACAGTGCGTAAATTGTAACACTAACACAACAATAGCAATTGCAACATAACATTTTGTAACATTTCCTGCAACAGCAATGAAATTAAATAATAATAATAATAATAATAATAGTAATATAGTGCATTGTTACAATAACAATAAGCCCTATTATAGAGGCAAAGCCAAGAGCGATTACAAGCCAGTTGAAGTGTATGGATTTATGGCAACGAGCTTGGATATGCATATTATATATATATGTTAATCAATTTGCATTCGTTTATGTAAAGAATTAAGTGAGAAGCAATTTGGAAAGCATAAATTCTTGTCTTAACAAGTTTCAACCCACCGCGCGTTCTTCGTCGAGTGTAATATCATAATTCTCTATTCTATTGTGCTGTAAAATGTATTGTTATGCAACAAATGAAGAATATTACGAGCTTATAGATATTCACGAAGAGTTAATAGATTTTTGTCAGCCTGCAATTGGCATACCCCTCTCGCAATTAATGTACTGTTAGTAGTATATATATTAAATATATCACTTAAGCGGTTATATCCACTTAAAAGTCAGAAAAAATGTAGATAAAAATAATATAGATTTACAGAATTGAATGTATTACTTTAATAATCGGTGATACATTTGGAAAAATTTTGAATTTCTTCAATTGCGTTGCCGATCTGCAGGATCCGTACGTCCGCCCGTGCAAGCGATAACTTGAGTAAAAATTAAGATATCTTGATAAAAATTGGTACACATGCTCCTTGACACCAAAGGAAGGTTGGTGTTACAATTGGGTGGATTTGGATCATTACCGCGCCCACAAAACGCCATTAATCGCAAACATATATAGTAAAGTGCTCTAACTAAGCTTCACAATAAGCTACTAGGCTGTTATTAAGTACAACGAACTACTTACTTGTTGTATATATGCATAAAAAAAATTGCTTATTTTAAATTCAACAGTGGATATAAACCCTTAATTAACAGTAATAAACATTTTATTTAAAATCAAATATTTTTACAATATTACAATGTTTTCTCTTTTGCTTTACTTGAACACAATGTTATGTTTACATCATTTAACTTGCTGCATCGTAGGACAAATCACATGTCATTCTTGGCATAAGCCCTACACCCCACTTTCAGCTGTATAAAGTGTAAATTTAACTGTTCCGCTTATGCTGCTTATGAGCTAACAAACATATCACATGCCCTCGAATATACAAGATCTCTATCAATTTGAACTGCTTGCTTGTAACTGTATTAACACGCCTCAATGTATCAATACACGCGCGCACATGGCATGTCTACAATACGTATTCCATGTGCAACATGCCACATAACTGTATTGGACATTCGTAACACATGTTTACAAGCTGTCCTGTGCACACGCACACCCACACAACATTTTCGCCATAAATTGATATGTGTAACGCGTACTGTCTTAGCGCATTCAATTGCAATGGGAGGATTCATATTACAAAGCCGAGACACACCCACTTGGCATTAGAGGCAGAAATGTAGCTCATTGCGCTCGAATAGTAATTGCATTAAAGCGTTGGAGTTCATATATATATGAGTAAGTGTGTGTGTGTGTTTATGTTCCTTTATAATTGTTTGTGTGTATATGCGCATGTGTGCCGTCTTCCAAGGTAATATTGCCCTACATTTGCGTCATTTGATTCAGCAATAGTGTTAAAACGCTCTTTATGCATTTTCATTTGCACTTTGTAAGTGGGTGTGTGTCTGTGTGTGGGAGTGCATGAATATGTAACACTTTCTCAACCGAGTGCATTTACACGGAAATTAACACTTTGCTAAGCGCGTTTTCTTTTCCGCTACCCGCGGCTTATTTGCTCATTAAAAGCCTTACAGTGCTATAAAAGTCGTTCACGTCTTAGAAATACCAACAACTGTGTGTAAGTGTGCGCTTGTCGTTGTGTATGCTGTAGAAATAGTTTTAGTTTCACTTCATAAATTAATCAGTGTTTTCCATTTGCAGCAAGCGATTGTGCTACTCATTTGTCAAAGATGACAACCGCAACGCCATTTTGTTATGAAATTGCCACTTACTTGAGATATAGTAAAATATTTTGTGGTTACTTGCTTAAATTGTAGGCGAAATGTATTACGACTAATTATTTTTGGATTATTTGTCATTGTAGTAGCACTTAGCCGCGAAACTGATCATTATGCTCGTTAGCACACTTACACACAAACCTCACTTCGAACAATTAATATCAGCACCAGAACATATTAGCTTCCCGGAAGTTTCGACAAAATATACCTACAAATCATCCCGAATAGCGATATATTCTGAAAAATAATTTGTATAGAGCACTAGGATCCACTATTTTCTAATCATTTTGAACACGTATGTCCGTTTATAATAAATTTTAGATAGTTTTGGAGTAGGATTCGTGCCGCATCTAGCAGTTAGGACCAACTCTATTTAGTGGTATAGCATATTTAGTACTCAAAATTTAGTACTATTTATTTCACAACTCAATTAAATAGTGTGAAGAATTTCCACCGCGGTATTAAAATTTGTTGATTTTTTAAATTTAAACAAACACAATTAACTGTTGGCACGGAATCTATCGACCGTTATGTGTAGTTTTTATCCGTTTCGAAATTGCCTGAACAATGGCAACACTGTTATCCGCAATAGTTGTTTACATTTGACAGCTGTGTAGCAGCTGTTACTGTTGACAGTTGTTAAAAGTTTCATCTGATATATAACAATTTTGATTGAGTGGCCTATATTGGTGTTTTACTTAAAATTAATTAATTTTAAACAATAAAACAAACCGCTTAAACACGAATTTTACAATACAGTATTATTGCCTGCAGTCCTAGCAATGAACAGAAGTGTATTCTTCATCGCGCTGATTTTGGGTAAATATTTGTATTATATTTTTTGAAAACTCATTACAGAGGCATTTTTGTTTTGCCTTTCCAATAGCTGCCTGCCTCAGTACAGCAACTGCAGAAATGCCAGCCTTTAAAACCATTTTTAAGTTCTTTTCATATGGCGGCGCGAGTGACTATAACGGCAATGGCACTCGCACCAAAGACATCTCACAGATGACACCCGAAGAATTGGGTATTTCACGCGGTCAATGCCATTACGATTTTCTGCCACACATAACGTACAGTGAACGTTTATATTGTGCACCAGATGATCACCACATATTGCACTTATTACCGAGCAATATTACGGAAGCTTTGCGCAAACCACCAATAATGATGCGCTGCTTGCAGCCAGAGCGACACGAGAACGCAACACGCAATGATAATACACTATTGATTATGCAAAATCTAAAGGATATAGTGGCGCTACTCAAACCAGTGGGTAATGCGACTAAGCGTCATGAGCCGGGCAGTTGTGTAATTGTACTCTTCTACACCGAATCGAGTCTTGGCTGTGCACATGTTGCACCCTACGCCAATATGCTACCCATACTATTTCCCACATTACGTTTCGCCGCTATTGATGCTTTCAAATTTCCCAGTTTCAATACAGAGTTCGGTATAGTCGGTTTGCCAACGCTGCTGCTATTCCATCAAGGTCGACCGATAGTGAAATTCTACAGTGACATCGGTACGTTTCATGCATTCGTCACACGTCACACCGGCATCAAACCGATTGAACCAATGCCAAAGGATTTAGAAGTAACCGGCCCATTGCCACTACAGCCAGTGCCGCAAGTCGATTACGTGCTCATACTTGCATGGGCCTTCATATTGCTATGTGTGGGAAATTACTTTGCAAAGTCGCACTTGTGCAAGCAAATTGTTGAGATGATCAAGCGAAATTGGCGTGAATCGGAAGCACGCATGGAGCGACATTAGAAATGTACAATTTTAAGTTTGATTTTAAGTAAGTGATTCATTGCAAAGCTGTTTCATCCAGATTCTCATCATAGTTTTTTATTTCGAATAAAAATTTAAATAAAACTAAAATCTTGTTCGCTTTCTAACACACTTTTGGAAACCCCTACCTAATTAGCATATACTCAACAATATAGATTTATGTACGCCGCAAGAAAACCTGTACGGCTCGCAAATGCTAAGAAAAATTGCAAAATGTCTTGATGGTAGTATTTTTTTTTTATTTATTTAATTATACTTGAACTTTTCCATTTTCTATATGCTCAAAAAAGTTTACGTTTTTATCTAAATTGATACTTAACTGTAGCGGATCTGAACTGCAAAATTATACATGGTTCACTTAACTCTAGTAAGAGCAGAGATTTCAATTGCCGTAAATTTCGGACATTGACAGCTACAATAACAAAATAAAATGTCATTCCGACTGGGTTTTAAAAGAATATTCAATAACATACACATAGCTGTTGTAAATTTAATAAATATCTCCGCTAAATAGAAATAAAAATAATAATAAAATTTAAAATCAAATAAAGTAAGAAATTAACTAACTAAAGTTGTATTTTTTTATATTTCAAATTATTATTTGTTACATATTATTACTTTTACCATTTTTGGGCTGTTGCTTCGTTTCATCTATGTCGTTATAGCTCTTATTGCAAGACAATAGCCGTTATTATTTATTTTGTTTTTTGATTGAGTTTTCGGCGCATAATTATGCGGCCAGAGCAATTGTAAGCTTTTAAGGAAATTCTTTTAATATATATTTTTCAATTGCGCGCATAAATTTATAAATTTATGAAAAAATAAATTTTGATTTACACACATACGCAAGCAACAAATATTCATTACGATTTAAAAGCGAATGTACATAGCAAAAGAGGAGCATAAAATTATACTTAAAGGGTATTATCATATGAAATTGCCGTCACTGCTCGCCAACTAGAGCGTTGGAAAAGCGACTAAGTAGCGCTACATATCATCGACGCTAGCATTTTGAAACTAGCATATGCAGTCTACAGTGGTTTGGAAGCTTTCTGTCATAGACTTTGTATACAACATCTCAATTCACATTGCATCAATAGCTAAGATATATTTCATATTTCATTAAGCAAACATTTTTTTCTCGTTGTATTGCTAATAAATTCACAAATATACTTCATATATCATATACATAGTTAATGTTTAAAATTTATATTATTATTCTTTTCGATATATATGTATATGTGTAGGTGGAAATCAAATAAGTTTTGTATATAGTAATTATGTGTTATAATAAAATTGTATATGCATTAAAAAGTGCAGCAGCTACGGTACAGCACAGCATAAGACTCATATAAGCATGTATTCATAAAATCAATCAGACAATTAATTTGACGTTTTCTTTTCATAAACCAACTGCTTTAGAATATTTTTGTTGTTATGTGTTTTTCGTTACGCGCAGCACAAATAACTAAAATTTTGTGTTATTAATGGGCAGGCGCAGCATAAAGTGTAGATAATTATTTGTATACAGTACTAAGAAATGTTAAGGGTTTATTAAGTTTTATCCTAAGATAGTTTTTTTTTTTTGCTTTTGTTTTGTTTTACTTATATGCCCACACTACTTAAAATTCTAAAAAAATACGTACGATCATAGCTGCATTTTACGCGAACTGCCTACGCGCTCCCCAACTCAACTACCAAACGTTTACTTCGACTATTTAACTAAATAATTAATTGGCGCTTGCTGCTGCGCATACCACTACTACATTTGCGCCTCGCCTCATTAATACCTCAACGCTTTGAACATTTCATTATTATCAATATGTGGTCAACTACTTAAATTAATGCGTCCGTTCGTACATTTATCAGCGTTCCAACAACACATACTACCACGCGCAATTAATATATGTATGTATATAATGGATTTTAATGATGGTTTTAATGATGAGTGGATTTCTGAGATTTTGTAACCGTTCTATTAGCTGCTGCTGCGGCGGCAGCTGCTGGATTGATTACTGTTGCGGATCCTGCATCATCCTCCTCCTCTTCTACGATTACCGCACCGGCAGTCGGCTGCACCACTTCATCATCGTCGTCATCGATTACCTCGGTTATGGTCAGCGTTTGCGGCTGATGTGGCTTTTGGTGTTGTTTGCTGTGTTTAGAGCGGTAATTGCGGCGTGCGGCCGAAGCGTTATATGGATGGGGATGTACACTGTAAAAATAGGTGTAGAAAATATATTTTTGAAAATTAACAAATTTATAACGGAATTAAATTAAGCAAGCTTAACAACTAAATAATTGAATTTAAATAAACATAAAAAATTAACTTGATTAAACTTAAACTGGAAATTGACACACAAATAGGAAATGTAGTAATTCATGAATGATAACAACGTTTACGAATATGTATTCAAAATTGGAGAACTATATAAGGGGCGGCGTGCAGGCAAAACAAGGTTGCAGGCAGTAGGCAAGCAAATGCGTAATGGTTCAAATTCATGAGATTTCAAGTTATCACAAAAAATATGGTTAAAATTCAAGAGACGATTGCATGTGTTTCCAATATTTTGCACGGATTAAGATATATCTTCGAAAATAAATAGCAAAACACAACGCAAATATGTTGAACGATCAAATGATATATGAAAATTTTGAGGTTATGTACAATTTACACTGAAAATGTTACACTGGGGAATCTAGTGGTCCGTAGAAAAGAGTTAGTGGGAGTAAAATACCGTATACAGTTCTAAAAATATTTCATTTAGAAATTTTATTATTTTTTAATTGCACTCATCTTATTGTGAATAGGGTAAAGCTAAATTAAGTTCTGAATTACTGTATAAAAGCAGTACTACAAACGGACAATCGCTTCAAATCCCTAGGTAATTAGAAAGTTGAATACAAATCTGGGTCTGTTTCCGTTACACACACTCGTGTCGTGGCAAAATATGTTTGTGTGCTTACGACTGTGTTCACACGAGAACGCTTTTGTCGCTCAAACCGGTTTTTGAGATTGTGTTAAAATTGGTTAGTCGGCCAGTTATCGTTCGTGTGAACGCAATGAGCGACACCAAAAGAGAATTTGTCGATAATGAGCGACAAAAGAATCGGCATGTAAACGCAGTCTTATATTTATAAAATTTCCTAAACATTCTAAGCACGTATTACAAATATTATGTAACGATAAATGAGCCCGTTTACACATAAAAAAACATTGGGGAGACAACGTGAGAGTATACCACCACCAAATAATTAGCGTACGTCCATAACCAGACACTTTTGTTTAACAAATATCATTAGTATTTAAATATTAGTGTGATTTACTCGCAGATTTGACGAAATCGTTCCAAAATTTAACAGAAAATCTTTGTAAGCGATAATCCTTTTTCCGGCTGCAAAAGCATTTGTCGTCAGTCAGTGCCGTAACATCAAGTGCGCTGGGTATAACCATGTGTTAAACTATTAATATATATATCGATAAATTTTCTGTAATCCATAAAATGGCTTTCATTTGCATGTATTTATACAGCACATTTGCGGTTTAATTAAACGCGTTATTATTACAGCAGCGCGTATTTGCATTTTTAAGCAGCAAAATAAGCACAATAAAGACTTCTTGAAAAGACATGTCGACGATAAAAAGCAGCAATTGATTTTTTCTATGCTTAGTTTTTTCATTTGCAAACATATTTACAGCTTCTGTATACAAATTATTCTAGTGAACTGACTTTTGTTAAGAAATCGCCACCAGAGGATATACATTGCTTACACGTGAGGCTGCGAGCAGTAACAATTCATTAACCACATCGATGGAGCAGCTGATATATATTTATGACAGCATGTATTTAGTGTACAAGGATGGTAGGTAGTGGAATAGGCTCTTTGGATCTTGGTTTGTGAAAAAATTTGTTTTGGAAAATTTGATGTTGTTTTTGTTAACGCTGTTTTCCAACAGCTTATATAGCATTGAACGCCTCATAACAGCTGCATAAGTGTCTCAAGTCTGCTTACAACGCACTACAGCCGCATATGAAAAATAAGATTTGAGCTGCACTCAAGTGGAAAGTTGTGCAGCAAGCGTTTCAATGCATCTATATGTCTTCTTTGCTAAGCAAGCTGCATTGTTTGGTTTCAAGATCGTTTCTATGACGCTTTGTTTTGTAAAGTAGGTATGTAAAGTATGCCACCAATATTATTACTTTGTATATCCATCAATTATATATGAATGATTGATTAACCTTTTTTTATTTTACTTATATTTTCAAAAATCGCTTAGTATTTTTTCGTTTGTCGTTGTTTTTGTTATTCGTTTCGCTGAATCGTATGTTTATTATTATGTTTTTAAGTGTTCGTAGCAAATTAGTTTAAATTTATGCATATTTTTATCTTCGTGTTAATTTTTTTTTTTTTTTAATTTTTTGTTGTAGTAGTTGCGACAGCTACTCTCCCAACAAGTTTCCATAAATTTGTTCAATTGTTGTTATGTATTTTATTTGCTTAGATATTGACTATATTTTATTTTGTGTTCACGATTTACTGTTGCTGTTTTAATTTTCATTGTTGTTGTACTATTGTTTATTTATTTGTGCGATAAAAACGTGGATTATACAAACGCCAATCTCTGTTGAGTGAAAATTTATTTAATATTTTAATTGTTGTGTAATTTTTTTGTTGGGTGGATTTTTTGGCTTAAGCAAAAGAGGGATGAGAGGCAAAATATTGAGCAGGGGTATTATGTGGAATAAATGTAGTTAATAAGGAGCAGTGGCAATTTGTCGCATTTTAAATTTTTTAGAATTAGACGCTAATCAGCTTGGTGAACAAAAAAAATGATGGCAAATGGAGCTGAGCTGTTAAAAGAGAATATTAATTTATGAAAAGCATATGCGTATATGAACGGTTTTTGAGTTCCATCAGTAGAAATACGGCTATGTAATATGTAAAGCGGTATAAACGATATGAAAATGGTTTGATACTTTATTAATTTTGGTATTCGTTACTTATTTATCAATATTCATAATTTCCAATATTTTAAATATATATGCAGTAAATGAAAATGAAATATCTTAATTATAAAATTAGTTAAATGTGACTGGGGAAGTTATTTTATTAGTATGTATAGTAAAATATAAGTAAGGAAGATATCAGTAATGTTAACGCTTACCACTATGAATGAAAGTATTTCAAAATATGTAAAGTAAAGGAAAATAATATACGAAAGAGAATTAAGAAATATTACCACTGAAATGGCAGTATTCAAAGGTTTTGCGGTTAAATTAAAAATATAAATATTTATAAAAATCAATTTTTCTCAACATTAGAAATTTGGAAAAAAAAAATTTTTTGTCTTTCAATTGCCCAAAAAAAATATTATGTTTCACCATCGAAAATCAATAATTTGAGTAAAATTGCTGAAACAACTTAAACTCAACGAAGAATAAATAATTGAGATGCACCGAATCGGAGATTTTCTTGAAAAATGTTGAAACTCGCAGCAAAAATATTCAACGAAAATTATAATTTTTGTTAGTGGTTTGTAGTGGTAGGGCTGTGACAACTTCCGAATGCATGATTCCTACGAGTGTGGGTGGTGCGAGAGTTGGAAATGCTGCTTTGTTTGCCATTTTCGCAAATTATTCGGAATTTGCACGCATTTTCGTGATTTAATATTTTTTTTTTTTTTTTAATTCAGTGTTTCTGATGCTTGGCTTTATAAGCTTTATGTTTTGTTTTGGTATTTTGTGACACAAACCTTGTCGTTGGCGCTGTGCTGTGACTATGATTGGTCGGTGTGGTGGCTAGGGGCGACGATGATGGCGTACGCAATGGACGACGTGCTGTAATGCCGCGATGACAACCGGCAGCGGTGGGAGAACGAAGCGTTGTATTCAAGTAGCTATTGCTGTTGTTGGCTTTACTATTGACCTTTTGTGTTGAAGCTGTGGTTTTGTTGTTTGTGGTGACGTTTGCGTTTGAGCGCTGCGTAGACAGAGTGTCGGTGTTGTTGTTGCCGTTGCTGATCTTAGTGTTGGAGTTCAACGAATCAAGCGACGATGAAGGGGACAATGTCGAGCTGTATTTGGAACGTAGTGTGAAAGGCGAAGAAAATTGTGATTATTCACATTTGAAGCGTATTTAAATTAATATTTGGTGGTGATTTGTTTGCTAATTGCCACAATTTGTGAAAATGCAACTGTGACAAATGTAGCACTTGTTGTTTAATTATTGTTGGGCGAAAATAAATATTACATTTTTTTTAACAAACAAACTTTGTTTAGAGAAAATTTTTAAATTTTTAGATTTGCATTAATACATTGAAGCAGTTTTTACTTAAATGCATGTATTATCGACAAAATATTTTAGTTATTAAAGAAATCTACCAAAATAAACCCATAACGCTTTGTTTAGAGATTTTTTACTTTTCAGATAAGTTATTGAATAACTTCGTAAGCTAAGCACACTTTGCTCTCTTTAATTTTGTATAGAAGCTATGTAATGTGTAAATAATTCTCAAATGAAAACTATTTACATAACCCTAAAAGATACGACATCGGCATATAACTTTTAGTGAACAGTTTCGAGATGCTACTATGTCTTCTACGAAATTTAACTGCACTTTAGTAAAACATATTTATGATTTCTGTTTCTACTGAAATTGATATGCGCAAAAATAAGTCGGAATAAGAAAGAAAGAAGAAGAAATTATCTAACCGTTTCCCGTATTTGTTCTTAGTTGTGGATATGAGCGGGTGGTATGAATGAACATTCACTATAGTAATATAATACAGAAAAAAATCTTCAATATAAATATGCAGATAATATTTTGTGAAAATTAATTCTAAATATTGTATATGTTTGAAAACATTAATAGATGTTAAGTAATGCAATGAAGTATAAAGAAAACATCTAACTATAACACAATCAGTGACAAATAATTATAATTAAAAAATTCTAAAAACAATAAATACTATTTAACTTACAAAATGGCCTACCTCATATTTTTAGGGCGAATTTGTGAGTGTTGAAATATTTTCTTACGGGTCGCTTTGAATTTAGTAGTCTTTACGCTTATACTGTTAGTCATAATAAGTGAAGTGGAGTGGAAAGGTGTGAAATTTCAAAAACTCGTAGGCTCTCATTTTCATTTTTGCTGTGACCGCTTTTATTAAAGTTAAGTTCATTGTTAATACTCTGTATATATGTAAGTAGGCATATCAATCAATGCAATTTTTTCTTTTTTTTTTTTGTTGATTATTTTTTAATATTTTCAGTTTAACTATTAATATGCATTTTTTTCGATAAAAATCTGTTTGTGATTTTTGCTTGCAGTTAATCGCGGATTCGACATTAATTTTTTTATATAGTTTTGGAATTCTGGGAGTGATAGCAGTTGTAGTGGTTCTATATAAGTGATAGATATATGTATGTATGTACATATACATTTTAGTAGTATGTAGTAGCAGTAGTAGTTATGCTAGTCGAAGTTAAATTCAATCCTTAATCAATCAAGTTTCTTTGTTTATATATTTGTGTTTTTTTATTTTTTATCATATCTGCAAGTAGATATAAAGCAACAATTTTTTTCAGTAACCAGTGAATTTTTGATTACGAAGCGAAAAAAGTTAATAAACACAAAATAAGTTTACATGTGAAAATTGTGATTATTGGAAGCATAAATAAATAAAAAAAAGTACGATAAAGCATAATGGTACAAGGAGACGAATTTTGAAGGGAAATTAAATTAGTTGTCACATAATCCAGCGTAAACAAACCAAGAAAGTTAAGAGTTACCAGAATTTATTGTTATTTATTGCCACAATTAAACATTATTATTTCGCTTATAATTATTATTTTTCTTTTATGCCTTTTAGCCTTTTTTTTTTTGGAAAGCGTACTTTATAGTTATCATTTTTAAATAAAAAAGACCTAAAAATTATATAATCTTTTAACTTAAGCAGTCTGTAAAACGCACAAATTTTATGTAAGTTTCTACTAAATTTCACATGAAATTTATGCACCCACGAGCAGTTTAGCGTTTAATTCGAAAAACAAATTATATATAAGTATATACAATTTTCCTACAACATACACACACCAATTCAAAATCGAAATGAACAAATTAATATCATTTGATAACAATAAATTAGTGTTAACAAACTTACCTATTCTGTTGTTGTGGCGGTGCGGGCAAGGCTGGCAATTGTCTGCGATGCTGTCCACCACTACCGTGATGTCTGCTGTAATGACGTGGACGTACATCATCGTCATCATCAGCCGATTCAATAGTGATCATCTCTTGCGGACGTGCACCACGCACACCACCCGTACGTGCCCGGTTGGTAAATTCACGATCGAAATCCTCTGCATCATCTTCTTCCAAATTTATAAACTCCTGACGCTCCTCTAACTGACCGGAACGCAAGTCTTGTTCTTTTTCAATAATATGCGCACGCTCCCCAATATGATGACCAATAGCCATTTTCTTCATACCACGCCTGGAATCCTCAACGGTTTTACGTGTCTCACGTATGCCACCTGGACCAGTTTTTGTACTAGTTGTTGCCTGATAAATTTGTGGGCGACCATCTGGACCAGACGACATGGTAATCACTGAGCTAGAGCAATATGAGGCGCCGTTTGGTGAACCAATATCTAGAAAAACAATTAACATAGTTTGGGTGAGAAAGAAAAAAATGCTTTATTGAATTTGTAAAGATTGTGAACTTACCGGCACTAAGTAGTCTATTCATATTTGGCATTGCTGGGAAACCGAAAAGTCCACCCATTGGATTAGCGACATGTGGATTGCCACGCTCCATGAGCGCATTCTGTTGGAAGCCTGGGTCGAATGGTGCCAACATATTGAATGGATCGGGCATGAATGAATTCATCAAACGATTCATCGAACGCATTTGCATGTTCATGGCATTCATGTGATTGCTGGAAATGTGCAAAAATTAGTGAATTAAAGGGTTGTTCAAGAAAAAAAAACAAGAAAACAGCATACGAATGTGACCGTCGTCGTGCGCCGGCAGGCATTTTCACAAACAAAATTTTTACTCCAAAAAATAAGTAAATTATATCAAACAAAGCCCCCAAAAACAAAATTATTTCTGCCAGAAAAATTACTTTTTTGTTCAAACAAAAATACACAGTTGCTCAGTTAGCGGTAAAGTTTTCAAAAGTTGATTTTTTTAAACAATACCCCAATTATTGTTTTTTTTTTTAAGAAATTAATAATATATTGTTTGCATTAGAAATGTTTAAATTATACGAAGTTTCTTTAATAAAACCCATCAATTTCTTGCCTTTGCTATTGTGTTACATTTTACTCACACTCTTACTAAAAAAAAATGTCATAAAAATCGAATAGGCTTGCAAATTGTGATGATGTCACTTAGTTTAGACTGTATTAGATTTGTTTAATTCTTTTTAAAATTTATTTTTATGATGCTTATATATGCACATACACACATGTCTTTAAGATAAGAATATTTTTAAATGCAATTACATCAAGGATTGGCAGAAAAAGATATTGGAAAGCTCAACGTGAAATCTGCCTGAAGGAGTGCAAAAATTAAACAATGTCGAATTCATGAGTCAATCAAATTTATCAGATTAGGCAAATATGGATTTCTATAAATATAACTTATAGAACTCAGTGTTATTAACTATTTGCACACCTACAACCATTAACAATTTGAAATAATAGCCATCTTGATCACTTTCTACAATATTGATTTTAAGAGACCTAAAATGAAATATCTTGAAAAAATTCAGTATGAAATTACTTCTAGTACTTTCTTTAACAATCACTAACTTATATTATAATAATACCCTAGCGCTAATTTTTGTATGGCACTGCGAAAAACTCAATAGACCGTAACTATCTTATAAACCCTAGTGCTCCCTAATATGGAAATTTGCTTATTTCAAATTAAACAATGAAAACATTTCTTTGCTAATTCGTAATAAAAAATATTAGTGCGTAATTGTTTAGAAAACTCTAGAGTAGAAAATATGTAAGGGGTGAGCATATACATGAGGAAATAAATACATGAGGAAAAAAATACGGAAAGCGACGGGAAAATAAAATTTATCGATTTTTCATTTGTAAGTTTGTTGTTGCAATTTCACCGTAGTTGAATGTGTGAATACAAATATATGTAGAAGGTTTGCATGGCGTATAAAACTGGAACTAATTAAAGGAGAATTCGTTCACAGCAAATGGAAAAATAGATAACTATAAAGTATATGTACCTAAATAAAACCTCAATCATACAAATTAAATATACGACATAAAATCGCAGAAAACTTGTGATATATTTCAAAATATAAAGCCGATTCTTTAATAATTTTCACTTCTAAAAGCTGTTTGTATGTATTACAACCCAATCGTGCGCACTAAAATTTCTTAATTTCGATGTTCACCTCCCGTGACAGCTTGTAGTCAAAAAATTTAATTTTTCTCAATCATCACATTTCAATAGTTTTTTTTATTAAAACTATTTAACACACCCTGGTCGCATAATATTTTCCACAATGCATAACAATCACCTTCAAACATAGGGGTACACATGTTCTTGAAGTGAAGACGGAATATTTTTTTTGCCATCGGCAATAGTGGAGCACCCAGCGCCGAGTTGTCACAGCAGAATCACAAACTTACCCCATGAAAAGGTCATCATCGAAATCTCCCATTAATGAGCCGAATAGCGACATTTTGTTATGATTTTTTTGTTTACAATATGTTACTCTGCGTTATTTCAAATAATTGGCTGTTTTTAAAGCAACTAAAAATGTTGGAAATCAATTATAACACACAATTTTCAGCACTTGATTGTAAAACGCGTCTTCACTTTTCAATGCTTCGTTTCAATTCGACAAATATACTTCCCTTTGTGCCGAACACGAATCAGATGTGTGTTTGTGTGGCCACCCACAGGGTTGCACATAAATTTTTGTTTGGGTTTGCCGTTCGTATATGTTTTGAAGATCAGCGAAACTATTATAGTGTTGTTGACCATAACAATTTATATAATGTTTATAAGATAATGTAATTGTTACAGCTAAAACGACAAAAAATTATATTTTCTAAGAACTATTTAAAACTGTTTAATTCAGTAAAAATAATATATTTCATATAACAAAAACAATTTCTTGGCGTTTTTTCTTTGACATTTAATATTGGACAACAGCAACACTGAAAATTTGACTACTTTTGTAATAGCTCAAAAGAACATCAGTCTCATGTATGACAGAGACAACTACTGCGTTAAGTTTAAATTGACAGCGCATTCGAATTTTCCCGAAACATTTAGCTTCCACAATTTCGAGAATTGTCGAAATACATTTAGGAAAGGCAAATACAGTGAACCCCCTTTAATATAAGTAGAGTCTTTCATAGCAAGCATTTCAAAAGTATTACATTTTAGCACGAACCCCGATAATATACGAAAATAATAAGCTTTTCAATATTTAACATACTACATACTTACCATATTTTTATAAAATGAATATTTTTCAAAAATCCAGTTTCTATATAAATATACGGTTCTGGCCGAGAACAGTGTAGGTATGATAAACCCTTACCAAACTTCTCCAAAACGTCTTCAATACTGCTTTAGAACCAACATTTCCAGGAACACTCCTTTTGAACTGTACTGTCATAATAACGAAATTTACTTTTATTTTTAAAAGGAACACCCCATATTCATTGGGGATTGCGATTGCTCAAATAACATATTGCTCAATGTAGATATGTACATATGTATACATATTGTATATATGTATGCATACATATATATTGTATGTATGTATTGCTTTAGATACTTAAGTGGTCATTGACATTTTTTGCACTTATGCAAGTTAAGATCTTGATCCACATAGATTCGTTATCTAGCGCTAAAATCTTTGACCTCTCGCCTCAAGTGATTGTCTATGACGGGCACCCCTGCGTGGATAGAGATAAGACCAACTTTTATTGAATTTTAATTGCTCGATGTGATGCAATTGATATCGAAAATCGTGAATCACATAAATGCTTTACGATAAATTGGATATAAAAGCCCGATGTAACAACAGTAATGGCAGTCGAAAAGTTGGGAACCCACTCAAAAGTATTTGCAGAAAATAATACGCTTAAACACTTAGCATGCTTCTTTATTATATTACACTGCTAGGATTGTTTGTAGTCATTACGAATGGTGCAATGTCCACCAATCGATTGTATTCATTGGATGGACGTATCGTTGGCGGTGAAAGTACTAACATAAAAAAGCACCCATATCAGGTTTCGGTTCTCCAATACGGTTCACATATCTGTGGTGGTTCAATATTGCATACTGGTAACAATAAAACCGCTGGATTTTTTGTGATCACAGCTGCACATTGTGTTATACCCTCCAAGCCACAAAATTACGCTGTAAAATTCGGAATATCATTGCTAAATCAACTCAGTCAAATGGCGCTCGTCGATATCATTGTACGCCATAAGGACTACAACCCAATCACCTCAGACTATGATATTGCCTTAATTAAGCTACAAAATCAAATTCCGTTCAGTACCACGGCACAACCGATACGCATGTCCAGCGCAGTTCCGAAGGTTGATACAGCTGCTGTTGTCACCGGTTGGGGTAGCACAAGTGAGAATGGACCATTAGCGCTCACGTTGCAAGCAGTCACTGTGAAGGTGGTGGATACTAATGAATGTACAAAACAGTATGCGTCATATGGTGGTATAACGGAGCGCATGTTATGTGCTGGTGTGCCTAAAGGTGGTAAGGACTCATGTCAGGGTGACTCTGGTGGACCATTGGTGGCTGATGGGGTACAAATCGGTATTGTTTCTTGGGGTGTTGGTTGTGCCAAACCCAATTTTCCAGGTGTTTACAGCAATGTGTCAAATTTATATTCCTGGATACACAAAAATGTTAAAAAACTGGAAGCCGCATAGCGTAGTATAATAAAAAAAAATTATAGGATAAAAATAATTTTTTAATGGTTTGGATAGTAGTTTGACTGAGTAAACTCGCTCATGGTGCCGATCTCTGTACGAACCTCCTTGTATCAATAATGGTATTATTTTTAAGTTTTCATACTCTTTAGTGTCATTTAACTATATGGTAAAGTTTCTCTTTTGGCACGTGGATGATCGAAATTGTTCATTGGAACTAACGAATATGACAAACGATCCCATCGAACTAATGCAACGGCTCAACTTCATTCATTCAAACTGCCAATCAATTAATATACTTAGAAGTAACTGATGAGAGGGCCTATAGTGAGCTTGGCGTACAAGATGAGTCTCATATGCTCTGAAAATAGCAAACGGATACAAATTTTCGAAAACTTCCATACGGAATGTTAAGCAGAATTTATTATTTTTATTTTTAATAACTCCTTCACCAAAAAACTGGCATAAATAATAATAAAAAATGTTAAAACGTATTTATCACAAAATATTAATATTAATAATATAGTATTGATGTGTAATATATGAAGTAAATATATATATGATATTTAAATTATAATGCGTTTGTATATTCGTTCACAGACTTTTGTTCGCTTATCTTTTAATCGCTTATGTTTAGTTATGCGTTCCTTTATATAATTCTCTATCTACGTCTCTTTATCTTACAAGTAATCTGCCGCTTGCTGTTCGAACCATTCAGCATGATACGGTACACTGGCATATACGCCGGGGTAGTCTTGAGCACAACCAATACCCCAAGAAACTATACCGATCAATTTGCCATCGACAACAAGTGGGCCGCCAGAATCGCCTTGACAAGTGTCTTTGTCACCAATCTCAGCGCCCGCACATATCATTTCCTCAGTGATGATATAACTCTTCAAGGCATATTGCACACCACATTGCAGCGTATCGACAATTTGCAATTCGACTGCCTGCAACACGTTGGTCATTTGTTGCGCCGTCTCATCGTTCTTACCCCAACCAGTAACGATGGCGTGTGCACCCACCTCCGCCGAAGTGCGTGCCAATTGAATGGGTTGTACGTTGGCGTCATAAATTAAAGGCACTTTCAAAATGATTAATCCCACATCATTGGTGTGTGTTTTTTTCTTGTAACCGCTATGATAGATTAGTTTTTGCGCAGCCACACCCAGCTCCGACTGATCGGCAATAGTGGATGAACCCGCAACGACACGTATTGTCGAAGCGTAACGTCCTTTCAGACAATGTGCCGCTGTAATAATAACACGCGGTGCATAAATCGAACCGCCGCAAATGTGTATGAGCACAGAAGAGTCGAGCCGTATGGATACTTGGTAAGGATATTGCGTTATATCTGTTTGATGACCGCCGACAATGCGTCCTTCCTGTTGCAACGGCGCGTTGGCAGAAATAGAATTAAATGTTGGTGCTGGTACAGCGGTGACTTGAAGGCCTAAGAGGCTGGTTAGGATGAGTAGCGGAAGTGCAAAGCGCATGGTTTATGTGTAATTCTTTTTGAAATGTAGCGGTAAGCGATGTGTCTTAGACGAAAAATATCAACTCTTTGATAGCCCGTCTACTGTGTTTAAGAGCTTTTATACGAATTACGTTGACTGACTAAATTGCGGCACTAAAAATTTCCTATGCGTTCTGGCAAAGCCAAATTGCTGTGCCAAAATGTTATATGCTTACGACTTGAAGTGTGATTAAACTAAAAACGTTAACAAAAATTTAAGCTAATGTTAAGGTTAAAAAAGTTGGTGAATCGTTGGTTAATACCTTGTACCCTTGTGCCCACCGTTCCTACGGCAGTTTAGTATCCAAATTTGTATTCGACAATGCTTTGACTAGTCTGATGCAAACTCTTTTACTACTGGATAACAATGGTTAAGAGATATCGCCTACTGCATTCAAAATTTCTTTCCTGTTTAAGAAGCAGCAATTTTTCTTATTCCTAATGCTTTTCTACTAAATGCGATCCTGTAATTTTTGGTTCAGCAATTTGACTTTATTTAGAATCGAACCAATCGAATTTAAGCAGATAACACTGCAGAAATTATCCCGTAATAAAGATATTATAACGACATTACAAAGTACTTGAAAATATTTGTAAGGCAATACCGATGCCGTCGGTAAAAAATGCAATGATAAAATTAGATAGGAAAATATGGTGTATACTCGTAAGTAAGTAGCCACAATAATCTCCATATCAAACACTTTATATCCATCATAAAATTTCGGTAGGCTTTATGACCAAATTAGCGCAAAATAGCCAATAACTTATTAGTACAATATATAACAGCTAAGTATGTCTATTCTGAACTGAAGATTAACATAATACGTCTTGTACTAACCGAATCGAAAACTTATCGCGAATGTACCTAATAGTTTTAGTTAACTTTCTAATCTCTAAATAATACAGTTGGATGAACTAAAAATAATAAGAGTTTACGTGAGTGCGTGAGTGGATTTCATGATACCTTGTGAATGTTGCGGGTCTTTCATGGCAACTATTACTTTCTAAAGTATGATTGATTACCATAAGTAGATTCGCACAGAAGGAATGGTCAATTATCTTAAAAAATTTGATTATGCCGAAGTGCTTTTAAAGAACATTGGTATCGAAAATATATATGATGTCTGCGTTTTATTACCCGCACGTTTTCTGCTTAGAGTATAATAATTATGACCAAAATTTTTTACAGTAATTTAATTAATCAACACGATAATGATTCATGACACTTCAAAATAATTATGAAAAAGTACAAATAGATAACAGTATGATATAGATCGCGTCGTTAATTATTAGCGGATTTGAAATTTTAATTACTTTTTCTTTCCTACTCATCAAGTTAGAACGTGTTTTGGTGTTAAATATGCAAGGGAATTTGAATGAGAACACATATGATCGACATGCATTTGCATGTATTGTACCTATCTTGAGCTTAAGCTTTGGAGAGAATTAAAGCTTTACGGGCAATTTTATTGGGTGTAAGTTGGAGAAAACTAGTATTTTATAACCAGACTCTCAAACGCATTCTATGTGTGAGCAAATATGAATTTTTGTCAGGGAAAACAAAACTATTGAATAATTCAGCAAAGGGCCTGATATCTTAATAAGTGCAATAAAGCTCGTGTCTCGTTGCTATTTTTGAGTGTTTACTTAATTCAAGTTTACATGACATCTATATAACCACATGATATCATTAATGAATTCATTAAATTATCTGGTATAACGATCACTTCTATTACTGTAGCGCCTAAAGATATGCTTCTTTCTCACAATATATATACAGTTTACGCCGTAAATTATCAATGAGCGGGTTTGAATGGTGAAATGAGCTTAAATATTATAGAAAATACTATCTCTAAACAAATACACCCCACATACACATACATGAGGGGTTTTCTGGCTAAATGCTAATCGAGTACTTAATCTTGCTAGTATATTAATTTTTCTGCCGTAATTATTGATAAAACCTCGAATTATTGTGTTAGCCTCTTGTGCACGTAAATTTTTCCGCAAAGCATTGATTTACTACACCAATAGATTAGCTTTTGATATTTCTCGCCCTCAGACGTTGCACAAAATTGAATAGCTTATTGCCGAATATAAGTGCTAGGTAAGCGTAGCACTGTCTATTCCGCTTTAATCCTGCGCTAAGTGAAAATGTTACGCCACATAACGCTCGTTGCGCTATTCACCATCGCCAGCTTTAGTGGTCGCACTAGTGCCAACAACAACGCGTTGCTGAACAATGGACGCATTGTAGGTGGCTACAATGCTGATATACGTCAATTTCCGCATCAGGTGTCACTGCGCTATAATAAATCTCATTTCTGTGGTGGCAGTATCTACTTGCCCAACATTATTGTGACGGCCACGCATTGTGTATCTGATGAGGACCCTAGTGGTATAAGCATAGTCGCTGGCGCCACAACACTTCTTGAGGGTGGCGTCGAAGTGCCGGTTGTGAAAATTATAATCAACGAAAAATATAATGCAATTACCGATTATGATGTGGCCATTTTAGTATTGGAGAGAAATTTGACATACAGCGAGTCCATTCAACCCATCGCATTGGCCAAGGAGCGTCCACCGACAGGCACTGAGGTGACCGTCACCGGTTGGGGTACACTCGAAGAGGGCAGCACCTATTTGAGTAATCACTTGCAGCAAGTGCAGCTTAATCTGGTGGACCAGACGAAATGTCGCAGAACGTATTTGTATCTTGTGACAAGCCGTATGCTGTGCGCTCAAGTGGAGGGTGGCGGTAAAGATTCCTGCCAAGGTGATTCGGGTGGTCCACTGATTTTTGGTAATAAATTGTTGGGCATTGTTTCATGGGGTTCCGGCTGTGGGAGGAGAACCTACCCGGGTGTGTATGCATCGGTACCCGATTTAGCTGACTGGATCGAGGCGACGGCTAATGAAAATTCCAATTCTGGCGGGGAAATTGAGCGATATTCATATTTGTAAATATCCTACAAGCTGTCAAGTGTTCATTTGAATGTAAAATGTTAAACAGTCTATAAATATTGCAAATTCATGAAAGAAAGTAGAGTATAACGTTTATTATTATGGATACAGTATCACATTTTCTTTACAGCAACATTTTTAGTGCTACCATATGATACAAAACGATACATATCACCGTAAGTGGCCTTCGGATGAAGAAGGTTGTGGCTTGCGTTAAGTTTCTAAGAAATTACTTAATTAGAGGTATTCACGAGTATGTTCTGTCGGCAGTAGTTTGGTTTAGAAACCAAATGAAAAAGTCTAGTGTCTTCAGTTTAGGAAAAGTATTTCTATAAATAGGATGTTGGAAAGTATTGAAAACCTAGAGCTTATAATAACTACGATTTCGAGCGTTTCCAAATGTCAGCAGCACGCAGGATCCTTAATCCTAGAAGCACTAAAATAATATAAATAAAACCCTAAAAAGCCTTGAGTGCAAAGCAAACAGGAAGTATAGGTTGCAGTCATCTCAACTCAATAAGTACTGTCGTGCCATTAGCTAGATACTTTGTGTCTGCTATTGCTATAAATCATTGTATACTAAACATAAGGAATTATTATTTTGTTTATTTCAGAATACAAACAAATTACATACGAATCATTAAATAACAGCTTTTATAGTACAACTTAAGTGACGCATTTTTATGTCTTTGATTGCTCGTTTTATGTACAATAATTATATCCTTATGCTTGCGCCTTCTGCAATTCCTCTACAATCCATGACTTAAGACTGGCTACATCAGTGTAAACACTGGGATAACCTGGACGCGCACAACCATAGCCCCACGAAACTAAGCCCACCAATTGTCCCTCATATATCAAAGGACCACCAGTATCACCCTGGCATACATCCTTACGGCCAGTCTTCACATATCCTGCACAAATCATACGTTCGGTGACCTCATCGGAACCATAGATGGAAACACACTCTGAGCGACTGACTATTGGCACTGTAGTCTCTTCTAAATTATCGGATGATGGACCGAATTCCTCACGATAACCCCAACCAACAACCGTTGCCAAACGGTTCACAGCAGGCCATTGCGCACGTATATTAATTGCACGCAACGCCGAATGAGTAGCGTCAAATTCAAAAGGCAAATGCACAAATATCAAACCAACGTCATAATCAGCAGTACGTGGAGAAAATGCCGGATGTTCGATCCATTTGCTAGCTGGATATAGTTTGCCATCACCGCCAGTGCGTTGATTGCCGGCAGCAACGATCATAACGTGATCAGTTTCGATTTCACGAACACATTGTGCGGCGGTAAGCACAGCCTTCTCCGTAATTATAACACCCGCGCATTTGTGCCAATACGCACCATCGACTGCCAATCGGTAGCGTATAGAAACGAGATAGGGATGCTTAATGATGTCCACTTCATGGCCGCCAATGATGAAGGGTTGTATTCCTAAGGGCGTAGGCACCGCCCAAGCGGAGCAAGAAGCGAACAAGAACCAAAGAGTGTAAAAGTGATATTTGAACAGCATGCCGATATATTTCTAGCCTCATTTTAGAACGCACTGAAAGCGACTAATATAATTATTATTCACCAAGCTATACTGTGGGGTTTAAATATTCGGATTATCTTATTTTGTTATTGTGTTTTTTGTGATAAGTCATTTAATTATGAAATGTTACGATGATAATCAGTTGCTGATCTTTATGGATATGTTTAATGCATATGTATGTGGAGAGATATGGTTGGGGTGCGTTGATTGCCGGCAGCAACGGTCATAACGCGATCCGTTTCGATTTCACGAACACATTGTGCGGCGGTAAGCACAACCTTCTCCGTAATTATAACACCCGCGCATTTGTGCCAATACGCACCATCGACTGCCAATCGGTAGCGTATAGAAACGAGATAGGGATGCTTAATGATGTCCACTTCATGGCCGCCAATGATGAAGGGTTGTATTCCTAAGGGCGTAGG